GTATCCACAACGAACAATTCCCCACACGCAGGGAACTCAAAGGAACCAATCTGACAGGACAGCTCCCTCCAACACTGGGCAAACTTTCCAAACTCTCGGGATTGTAAGATACTTCGTGTTATTGCAGTAAGTAATAATCTGCAATTGTAAGACTTCCTTCTTGTCTTGTTTGCCCGAACTGCCGCATTCAGAGCCCACCTGCACGTTCTTTTAATGATTGCACGCAAGGTCCATCCATGTACCCTTTTCTTTGAAGAAACACCCATGCACATGGAGTTCTGCTATTGTTTTTGTCGAATACACAGCACCAAGGTTTTTGCTACCACTTTAATATTCTCCTCGCTCACATTTCTGATTCCTCCTCCAGCACGTCCAGGTCTCTAGATGGAACTGCAGTCACATGCCCGCCTGACAAGACTCCATGTGTGGTTCCGCAATCGTCTCATAGCCTTTGCCCGCGCCTGTACATCAATCCTTTCTTTCACACGCGCAGGAATCTGACTGAAACTGCTATCAAATGCCCACCTAACAAGAGTCCTTGTGTGGTTCAGCAATTCTCTCTAAGCGCCTTTTGCAGCAAGTGCCCCTCCTTCTGCTCCACCTGCAACAAGACTGCACCACGTGAGCCTTAAAAATAACACAGAAAAATAAAAGACTGCAATAAAAGGAGGAAATTGAATGTCCTCTCCTCCCTCCCATGTTTCCCAAGCATCAAATTTCTTGCCAATCAGTTACACTGTTTACCCTTTCCCAAAGAAACCTCCCTATGCAACAAGCCAGCATGCCAATACATGATGCCAATACATGATGCCAATACATGATGCCAATACAATTTGCACATCTCTGCCGGATCTTCAACCTACCTACAAGGCCTACTATCAGAGCCACATCTCTGCCGGCTTTCCATTCCATCCATCACACCCTCACTATTTTTCTGTGTGTCACGCTTTCCGTTCAGACCCATCCTGTCCCCGTCTCTTTATCCCCGTCTATCTCATCCCCATCCATCCCTCACACACTACAGCCCCCCCCTCTCCGCCCCCAGCGTCCCCCTCCGTGCCTCCATCTCCCCCCACAACGCCCCCATCCTCCTCCTCCTCAGCAACCCCCCTCTCGCCTCAAGCGCCTCCCGCCCAGTCTGGAGGTGGTCTCTCTGTGGGAGCCATTGCCGGCATTGCTGTGGCTGCTGTGATGCTGCTGATCCTTGGCGTGCTGCTGTGGTGGTGGAGAGGCCACAAGAAGCGAGCAGCACGTGCCGCAAGTATGGTGTCCTGTCCATTCATAAACCCTCTAAACCCTGAACACCTTGACTTGAAACCCTATATATACTTATTCAATACGAGAGACCCAGAAGTCTAGAAAAACGTTTCTCTCTTGAGACGCCTCCAGTATGTGTGTGTCCCCTCCTCCTGCCCCTTGGCTTTGAGACGTCTAAGAAGGTCTTCCTCCTCCATCCATTGTTCCTCCTCGTTTTGACTTTTCCCCTCCTGAGCATTCATGAGGCAAACGAGGCAAATTTTAGGGACACATTTATCTCCCCTTCCTAAAATCTACCCTTCCCTCAGATACTAGAGTATTGACAACGATATGGCACAATGGAATGGTTGGTTGGCATGTTCGTATTAATGCCTGGCTTCTGCTTTACTTCATCCAACCCCACACTATCACCCTTCACACTCACTCTATTCACCCCACACACTCACTTTCACCCCACATTAACAACCCTCGCACCCATCCGTTTCACCCCGCACTACAACCCATCGTTGTTGTAATCTTATATTTTATACAACATCCGTAGGCTAGATCACAATGTGTAGTCATTTGTTCTGTTGGAGGGTTGATGGGTGTACCCTCCAACCACAACTTGTGGTTAGTTAACATTGGATTTGGTCCTTGTTCCTTGGTTGGCACTTGCCATGCCAGACTCTTGGTCCTTAGCCCAACCAAACAATCCCAACCAACTCACAATTGTGGTTGCTTGGGCTACAAGCCAACTCACCCATTGGCCAACTTAGTGGCCAACAGGGTTATCTCCTCTTGCATTCCATCTCTTGCTCCTTGCTTGTATTACAGAGCCTCTTGGCTCATTACTCAATACAACTTGTTGATTTCTAACAGTCGTCACCCGTTTTTCTTCACCTCACACTATGACAGGCCGGGCCATGTCGGGCGCTCAATGCACAGAGTATTCTCTCGACAAAGTCCTCAAAGCCACCAGCAACTGGTCCTCTGACAACCAGCTTGGCTCGGGTGCCTTTGGTGACGTGTACAAGGGCGTGTGTCCACATGATGGCACCACCCTGTGGGCCGTCAAGCGTGCCAAACTCGTTGATGTGGATTTCCACAAAGAGGTGGGGCCGAAACACCTTCTGACTATTTGATGTGGATTTTCATATATGTGAACTTATATGATGGATTGATGATGTTTGTTAGATTTTCCCTTCCACTTGGCTGCGAAGTGAGCTGCTATGGATCAAGAAACTAATCCACATTGGCTGCGCTTCTCAATGCACTCTGCCTTTCAAAACATCGCCAAATTCCGCTAGGGGGTGCCTCTTCTATTCCAGGGTGCCATGTGATAACCCTTTTTGTTCCTCATTTCATCCACCCCATCCGCACGCGCTCCTGTCCATTCCTGCCCATCAGGCATGAGCGAGAAATCGAACCGCGATTTGATTCAGCGCGGTTCGGTTTCGGTTTTCCCCGAACCGAACCGGTTTGTCGATTCGACGATGAACCGAGCCGGTTTGTTAACGGACCGGTTTGTCGGTTTGTGTGGTTTGTATTCAACAAATCCCCGAGCCGCGACGAACTAACTGGGCATGCAAGTTTGAATGAAGCGTTGGAGCTCATTTCAGGCTTTAACTCTGCCATAGTCTCACAAAATTCCCATTCCACCTAACACTAGGGTGTTTCTTATGGTCCTTTGTTTTGTTTTCCGCTGGTAGGACCATATTAAAAGTTCACTGGAGAAACAAACTGCTTAGGTTCGGTACCGAACTGGGCCGGTTCGGCCGAAACGGCTCCGTGTAAAAACGAACCAGTTTGGTTTAAAACTCTGCTCATGCCTGCTGCTCACTCCTATCCATTCCTGCCTTTTTCCTCGCAGGTCCAGCAAATGGCCGACAAGAACCATCCCAACATCGTGCGGCTGCTTGGGTTTGCTATTGGAGGGGACATGAGGACACGACCAGAGCAAATTCTGATCTACGAGTTTGCTACCAACGGTAACCTTGACCAGTTCACTAAGAAGGGTGCGTTCCTCCACACATTAGGGTCGAACATATAACTGCCATGCCTTAAGGATCAAACCGATCACTTTCGGCTTGTTGCCCTAATCTCATTTTTCTGAAAATTGAGTTTGTGTGTTCGCCCCTTTATGCAAACACAGATGTGTTCGCCTTGAAAACAAACACGTTCAGGGCGAACATGTTCGTATTTGCCATTTGGCTGTATTTTGCTAGAGTCTCAGTGCCAAAAAATGAAGTGTGCAGTGTACGGTTTGAGGGGGGTGTGGAAAGCAGACAACAGTGTGGTAAAATAAGCTTACACAATGTGTTCGTCATGAACACATTCGAGCCCAACCATGTTCGTGTTCGGCGTCGCTCGGCACTGAACCAAACCGAACATGTCCGTCTCGGACAGCAACACGTTCGACCTGAACACTTATGGCCAAAAGAAAACACCCCTTCAACTCGACCCAAACATTTTCTGGGCGTTCAACTATTTGCTCAAGACTTCCACACATTCATCTTAAACCAGCCTTTTTTTTTGTTTTTTTCCCTCCATAATGTCACATATCGTGACATATCACTGGCCCTGTGAGACTCATGTTATGTCACTCTCACGTTTTGTGCATGTGTGCAGAGGCGTCCTTCACTCTCGCCTTCCAGCAGCGGCTGGACATCCTCATTGGTGCGGCACGTGGCTTTGAGTACCTCCACAGCTTTGGCCTTGTGCATCGCGACATCAAACCCGCCAACATCCTGCTTGGAGAAAACATGCAGGCAAGCAAGCGAACAATGTCTATGTTCAATACAGCACGAACATCTCAACCTATATACAGCTCAATATAGCTCAATAGGAAAAACAAGTCCTTGTCCGACTCGGTGTCTAGCACGATTGCTCTTGTTTTTGTACTTTATTCTGTGGCAGGCCAAGATTGCTGACTTTGGGCTGTTGAGGGTGGGGGAGGGCACCACTGTGGGCACGACCCGGGTCATGGGAACACCGGGATATGTGGATCCCATCTACTCACGCACGTCCAAGGCCACCACTGCCACCGATGTGTACAGGTGAGGTACTGTTGTCACCAGGTGAAGTAAGATCATGAGCAGGTGAAGAGAATTCCAATTAATGAACTTATCTATCTTTGTGAGCAGCTATTACGTGCAAATAATAGGTCAATGCATGACAGTCTGTTTATAACGCTCACTGAGTGGTTGCTTTGGTTTGCTCATGCTCATGGGCTGTGCCGTTGGTGAAGCACTCACAATTCGGCACCCCTGTGTGCTGCTTGTCACCCCCTCCCCTTCTCATGCTGGGTTATGTGTGCAGCTTCGGAGTGCTCATGCTTGTGGTGCTCACCGGTCGCAGCCCCCACTCCGCCGAGGGCGAAAAGAATGGCCACATCCTGCGATGGGTGAGTGCCGCTGGTCCGTGTGTGGTGGGGCAGGTTGCGTTGTTTCTATGTGAGTTGTCACTGTGGCAAGTGCGGTTGGTTCAAGCAGCACTCTGCTGATGTTGGTGTGCGCACATCCCCCACATCCTGCTGATGTTGGTTGGTGAATTCCGGGCAGGGTCAAAAAACCCTGTGGGGGTTCTTTGTGGGGGGGTTGGGGGGTTGTGTTTCAGAGGTCATTTTTTTTCCACATAATAAAAACACCACGGCCTACACATGACACTTAACTACTTTCCTACCACCACCATCACTACGCCAGAAATCCATTAACTAGGCTGCCCACATCATGCCACATTTCCCCCCCTACCTAATCTATCCACTACTCGTCGTACTCGTCATCCAGAACATCATCGTTGCCATGCTCCTCCTCCGCCGTATCTTCCAGCCCCTTGTACCCCTCGGGGATTGGAGGCTCCTCTCCAATCCCGGGCACAACATTTGGCATGACATCAGCGCGCGTATGCCAGTTGCGCACAACGTTCCAGTTGTGCGCACGCAACATACACCAAGTCCTTGCACTTGGCGGATCCGAGGCGGTTCCGGCGGGCCGTGTGGACTGAATCCACACTGCCCAACCACGCTCACAAGGTGATGCAGACACGGGCTGAGATAGCACCCTTATGGCGAGAGAAGCCAGCTCAGGGGCATCCGTGCCGTTCCATTGCCACCACTTAACCATGCTGTACGTTCTCGCTTTCACCCGCTCCCTCTGTGCAATCGCCTCCGGCATCCCAAAAGACCCTTTCATGTCCAGGGAAGACCTCAACCCGTCCCACAGGGCAAGCAAGGCATCACACCCCTCACCCCCCCCCTTCCCGCGGCTCGTGAGGAAGTCGGCGTGCTGGCTGATGAACGCCTTGAAGACCTTCGTGCATTCGGCATCAGTGCCGAATATGTCCTCCTCCTGATTGGCGGGGTTGAGGATGCGGCCAGCAACGTCCATGGCGCACGCGAGGCTGCCATCCCACCTTTTCTTGAGGATGCGGCGGATGTGCGCCTTATCGGCGTTGCTCGGCTGCTCATCGTCCTCGTCCAGCACTTCCCCCACATCCGCTCTGAGCTGAAGCATGACGCCATAGATTCTTCTTCCCATCATCCTCGTTGCACTGCCGTCCGTCTGCCTCGTCGTCAGGTAGGGCAATGTCAGGAGCGTTGCGAAGAACTCTGCCGTTTTCCACCAGGCATCGTCGAGGACCATCGCAGCAAACCCCTCACATGATGCCTTCCTCGCCCCTACAGCCCAGTCTTTCCACAGATCGCTCAACAACACACGGGTCAGGTTGGTACGCATCTCGCAAAGCCGGGACACGGCAATGTAACTTGTCCCGAAGCGAGTACCAGCGCCTGCAGCACCGTTCCCTCCACCAAATCTGGCGTCCTCAGGCACCCCCGGGTCCAAGGTGGTTGTGGACGAAGGAAGTGATCTCCCTTGCCCGGTGCACAACCTTTTTAGCCCAGCCCATCTTCCCCACGTCTTCCATGAGCAGGTCTAACACATGGGTGGCGCACGGCACCTGCTGAATGTGTGGCCACTCGCGAATAAGCTCCTGAGTAATTCGTCCCCCCATCCATACAGAAGGCCACTACGTTCTCAGCTCCCACCTCCTCCACCACCGGCCTCAGGATCCCCGCCACGTAATCCCCTGCCTTTTTTCCATACGCCAGTCAACGCATTCGGTGAAAACCGCGCCGGAGTAGAACGTTTGCTTGCAGCCTGCCGCACTTGTCCGTCATCATGTCGGACGAGACAGTCACTCCAGTCCTCTTCCAGCTCGCCTTAATCCCCACCATCCCCTGCTCAATTCCTCTGCGACACGCGAGAAGCCCAGCCCCGCCGATGTACTTCCTCTTGGGGGGACGTGCCGGCGCGAGAGACTTGGTTCAGCGCATTGGCCACCAGCGGATGGTCGATGTGATGCTCGGGAATGTGGAGGGCGGCCCACGCGAGCGCAAGTGACTCATCCGCTTCCCTCTTTGCCGCAGCCGCATCCCCCTCCAGGTAATTGGTGATGCACGCCCTTTTCCCACCGCTGGCCTTCACCGCGGCAACCGCAGCAGCTGCTGCACTCCGCTTTTCCTCGGTTGCTGCAGCTGCTGCCTCATACTTTGCGCGCATCGCCAGCCGCACATCTTGCGGTGCATCCTTGCAAAGCGCCACTTCGCGACGTTTCATCCCCTTCCACGACGTGAAGTGCTGAGCTTTTCCCTCGATCCTCTTGATGATGCCGAAGTGTTTAAACACGGCATGGTCGACGTTGGAGAGATACTCCCTACCCTCGTTTAGACGAGTGCGAGAGCTCTCCACGGTTTGAACGGATGGTGGCATTGGAGGAGTTCTAGTAGTAGTAGACATTATCGCTCTGGGCTAGGCATGGCTAAGTGCTCTGTCGGATGCGGGAGAAGAGCTAATGAAGGGAGGACTGGGGGTGAATCTGTTAAATATCGAGATGATTGACGGAATGGGAAGATGGACAAGAGTTGTTGGAGAGTTATTGGATGGGATGGGTTTGAATGCGGTACTGAACGTGGAACCCAAATTGTGAGTGAACGTGCAAACGCGACTTTGAACCCACGTCCACGCCTGCACACAGCGCGGACGTTCTTTTTGACTCCGCCAATGTGCTCGTCGAGCAATTCCGCAGCGAACCGTATATTCACATTCTTTTCGGTCGGGCTGCCCCAAAACAAATTGGCTAGCGTATAGCGTTTTGCGTGTACACGCTAAACGCAAACTGTTTTGAGCGTATATTCCAACTTAGATGGGAGGATGGCATGATGCCGCAATAGCACGTTGGTACAGCTGCGCCTAACTGTCCCCATCCCCGCCCACCTTGTTCAACCTAGGCAGGTGTAGGTATGTGCCTCAGCTACCCTCCTGTGAGCTTCCCTCCGTCAGGTGAAGGATTGCGTTTCCTCCAACAACCCGGCCCTCCTCAAAGACCTCAGCACCGGCTGTGCTGCGCCATTCCCTGTCCCTGCCCCCATCCCCACCCTCCTTGTTCAACCCATCAGGTGGAAGATTGTATTTCCTCCAACAACCGGCCCGCCTCTTGTTGCTCACCTCAATCTGCCCCTGATGGACCTCAGCATGGACGCCCCAAGTGATGCTGTGCTGCCCCATTCCCTGTCCCTGGCCCCATCCCCACCTCCCTTGTTGAACCCGTCAGGTGAAGGATTGCCTTCTCAGAACTGTCCTCGTCCCCACCAGTGATGGCATGATGTCTCCTTGATCAATCAGTTAGGTGTAGCCATGCCTCATTTACCCTCTGCATGTGCTCCTCTTGTTGTTCAACAATCCTTTTTTATCTGACTATGCACGTGTGCTCCCTCTTGTTGTTCATTTAAATCCGTCAGGTGGAGGATTGCGTTTCCTCTAAAACAACATCCCTCCTCAAGGATCTGAGCATGGACGCCCCGGATGATGCTGTGCTGCGCCTGGCCCAGCTGGCTCTGCGCTGCACTGTGCAGCGCACTGCAAGCCGGCCTAACATGGCCAGCATCGCCAACGAGCTGCAGGGAATCAGGCACGAGGTGGTGGGGAAGGAGGAGCTGAGTGCAGCGATCAAGGTGGACGAGCAAGCGGAGGGGATGCGAAGTGGGACGTCGTACCCCAATAACCTGGCTGCAATGTTGCAAGCTATTAAGGGCATGGAGGAGGAGGAACATGGCCCTTGTTATCAGACCAATTTGGTCTAATGGTCTGATTTTCATACGTATTTTTTTTTGGTATTCATCTGATTTTTAAGACAGATATTTCTATCACATCTGATCACTTAGACAAACGGTTTTAGTTCGTTGGATTTTTCAGACCAGTCAGTATAGTTAATCTGAATTTTCAGTGTAAATCACCCTGATACCCTGATAATCAGGGTGGTTTTTGGTAGTCACACTGATGGTCCCGGGTATATTTTTTTGGAGTCAAGATTTTCCTGATGTGCCAGGGTTTACATTTAAGGCACACTGATGACTAAGGGTTCCCGATTTCCATAACGAGTTTTACCCTGAAACGAGATCCATACCCCCCCTGCCCCCCAGTTCCCCCACCCCCCCTTTCCCGTAACCCGGGATTCCCGAATCCCGATTGCCAACTGGCGAAACCGGAATTTCAGCCGTGACAACGCATGTGCTGGCACAAAGTGGGCCACCATTGGCTAGACTTACAGTTTCTTTGTAGGCAGAGCCACCGACTCAACTCGGTTTCTTTTGTCTGACATGACAACACGACCGTGTTAGCTGGAAACTTGACTGAGTGCAGCAGAATGTCGGCGCCCACTAGCCCACTGGGCACCGCGTTCCTTGCACGACTGTGGGTGGCTCTACAGTTCGTTCGCGTGCACGTTAGGAAACACATGCGCTGGGGACTGGGGGCACGAGCACGGTTGAGGTCTCACCTTTGGTAACGAGAGACCTCACTCTCAGTTGGGCTTACCATCAGAGGTAGGCGTTTCTCTTGATACACACGAGGAGCCATGGCTGCTACTGAGGACGTTGATGGTGAAGGTGCTGACGAGCCACCTAACGATGCTCCCGCGCGGACAGGCTTAGATTTCCCGCGACGGCAGCATGCGAACCCTCCGCCTGTCTGCACTGCAGGCCCGTCATCGTGCAGCAATGAAAAGCAGCCTCCTGCTATTCCTTCTGGTTCTAATGCGGTCGCGCCGGACAGTGCTCCCGCCTCTGTTAGCGTCACAGAGTTCGGCGAGTCATCATCTGCTGCCTCGAAGAAGAGGCGTCGCTACGCGCAAGCCGTTCTCCCGTTCGGCACGCCCCCTGCGATACCGGCTCCGCCTCCCGCACCCGTCCAAGCTCCCAAGCGTGTGTCTCTTATCTGAAGGCGCAGCAGCTATACATCACGCAGTGGATGCCGAAGTTTGACTGGCTGCTGCTTGAAAAGAACGAGGATGGCCTGCCCATACTGCGATGCAGTATATGCGTGGAGCACGGCAAGGACGACGCGAAATTCGGACGCAACGGAACGGGGAGACGCGATCTGCAGCTCGGATCGATGCGATGTCACGAGCTGAGCGGCCGCCACGACGAATCCATGAAAACGCAGTGGACGCTCATGGCGGAGATCGAGAAGCAAAAGAGGCTCGACGATTTCGCCAACACTGACAAGGAGGGCGCGTGGCTCACTCGTCTCATGCGCGGCGTGGAGTTCATCTGCGACCATGATGCCCCGATCGCTATGTTCCCGAAGCTCATAGAGTTCCTCGCAGAAGAGGGAGTCGCAGACGTCCCGCTTCAGGCCTATGGCGTGTACATCACACAGTAATTCTACGTTTGTTGCCGTGTTTTAGTTGCTTGGTTTTCAAATTTGTAGCTGCGCATCCGTCAAATCTTTTACTCTCCCCACTGCTTGTGGCAGGTACGGTTTCAACGAGATGGCGTCGGCGATGGCAAAGTACCAGAGAACTCAGCAGCTGCAGCATCTTCTCGCGTCACCATTCGTAGGCCTTACGTGCGACGAGAGCACCGATCGCGCGCGTGGCAAACACTTGATTGTGCTTGCCACGTTCCTCAAGAATGGCGTCTCCGTCACGGAGTTTCTGGCGCTGCTGACGGTGCATAAGTGCGACGCGTCTTCGATTTTCACCGTGCTCACGAGCCACATGGACTCGATCGGTGTGGACATCAAGCGGGTGGCTGGCATCAGCACCGACGGTGCTTCTATGATGACGGGGGATAAGAGCGGACTCGTATGCCGCTTGCAAGAGCGTGTGCCGCATCTCGTCGGATGTCACTGCGTAGTGCATCGGTAAGTTTTGCTTTGTTGTATTTGAAATTAAACGCTGTAGATGCATGTATCCAATTCTCCGGAGATACTAACCAACCTTCTTGATCTGTTGCAGTGAGGCGCTCGTGGTCAAGGATGCTGCGAAAGCATTCCCAGACCTTAACATGATCGATGCTGCTGTGCGTGTTGTGGGAGAGATCATCTGCCGCTCTAGCATTTGGTACGAGAGGTTCAAGGAGCTGCGACAAGAGATACACCGAACCAACCTCGAACACTAAAGGGCTGTTCAACGTCAGATGGCTATCGCGGGGAGACGCTATAGTCAGGCTGTGCAGAGTTTTCGGGGCGGCGATCGTCATGATTGTAGAGTACCGGCACAAGATAGCTGCAACAGTACAAACGTTTAAATTTCACATCTGTTTGTACTTCCTCGCAGATATTCTTGCAGAACTGAACGCGCTCAACCGGTTCTTCCAGCACCGCAAGGCAAGTGTGCCCTTAAATGTGTAGAAGATTGTTAGTAATTTTCTTAGCAGTTGCTGACATGTTTTACGTGCCCGGTGTTTTACAGGTGGACATCACACAGGTCGCAAAAGAATTCAACCACACGATCACCATCATCACGCACCGGTACATCCAGTACGGCGAGACATTTGGCGGCGGGGTCAGCAAGCTATTGTCCAAGTTCATCAAAGACCACGGAGGTGAAAACAGGACGGTGGTGGTTGAAGGGATTGACGCGGATGGGCGGCAGACAACACACAACTTCGAGCTGAGCGAGACACCCATGAAGAAGCACAAGTTCGGGGGCACGCTTGGGGACTGTGAGAAGCTGTGCACGGGTTTCGCGAAGGAGATCGTCGCAAGAATGAAGTACCGCATGTGGGACTTGCAGCAGATGGGTGGCGCGAAGCTGTTTCAGGTTGAATCGTGGCCATCCAGGGAGGACCAGCGCGAGTTGAAGAGCCTCGAGTGGCTGGCGGCAAACGATGAGCTGTTTGGCGGCATGCTTCCAGGTGAGGATAGATTTCTTACGTGCGTTTGATACGGCTCGATAATGTGATAGTACCACAGTACCAGATAACCAACCCCCTTTAATTCCACCGCCCCAAACCCCATCCACGTCAGGATTCGATTTCAAGGCGGCGAAGAAGGAGCTGAGGAGCTTCTGTCACATCCTGTCACGTCATCACGCGGCGGAAGATTTCCACCAGGGTCTTCAAAGCATGTTGAAGAGCCGGGATTGGCGACGCAGCTATCCGAACCTGATGACGCTCTGGCAGTCCCTTGCTGTGCTGCCACTGAGCACAGTGGAGTGTGAGAGAGGGTTCAGTCGCCAGAACATCATCAAGAGCTGGATGCGCACATCGCTGTGCGATGCACGCCTTGGCGACCTCATGACGCTGCACATGCTCAAGTACCCATACGTCTGGCCAGACGTGGTGGACCTCTGGCGCAAGTAGAAAACCCGAAGGCCGGCGAAATCTGTTGCGCATGCGACTCATGTGGACCGGAAGGGGAAGCAGAAAGTTCCAGAGCCAGCAGAAGAAAGTGACCACAATGAACACCCATGTGGCATGTCTGATGATGATGACTAAATTTTGTATTGACTGCAACGTTAAAAACAATTCACCAGGGTGTGTCATTTACGAACACTGATGCGACAGGGTAGATTTTACAAAAACAGCCTAAACCCTGATGCATCAGGGGTTTTTACAAGGGGTAACACTGATAATCAGGTTTTTGCACTTGTACTACACTGATAATAAGGGTAGCTCAAATAAAAAAATTAGCCATGGTCTAGTTTCGTCTGAAACCGACAGAATGAGCCACTAGGCCGTAGAACCACAGTTACGGTTCTTTGCTGCCTATACTGTCAAATGTCGTAGTCTTAGTGATGTGTGTTATAGGGGGTACAACTGTTAGGGTTAGGTTTATGTACCCCAACCAATCTTAGTCAATCAACACTTTCATTCTTGACATGGTATCACCTAGGTTAGGATCCTGTGGGATCCCGTTCCTCTCGTTCACGTCCGTAGCGCCCGAGCCTGTCCCGTACCCTAGTGCCCGTTACGCCCGTACGGTCCCCTAGCGCCTATCGCGCTCGTCTCTCTCGTGCCTTAGCGCCCGCTGCGCTTGTCGTCGCGTCGCCCCTGCTGTCCCGTCCCGTCCCGTCGCCTCTGCTGTCCCGTCCCGTCCTGTCGCCCCTGCTGTCCCGCCCGTCCCGTCGCCCCTGCTGTCCCGTCCCGTCCCGTCGCCCCTGCTGTCCCGTCGCGTCGCCCCTGCTGTCCCGTCCCGTCCCGTCGCCTGTGCTGTCCCGTCTCGTCGCCCCCTTGCTGTCCCGTCGCGTCGCGCCTGTCCCTGCTGTCCCGTCGCGTCGCGCTGTCCCGCCGCGTCGCGCCGTCCGTCCCGTCCCGTCCCGTCCGCGTCGCACTTCCCGTTCCGTCCCGTCGCACGCGCCCCGTGCCCCCTGCCCGTCCGACGCGCCCCGTGCGCCCTGCCCGTCCGTCGCGCCCCTGCTGCGCCCTGCCTGTCCGTCGCGCCCCGTGCGCCCTGCCTGTCCGCACCTGTAGCGCCCGTCCCTGCCAGTTGTGTCCTGTCCTGTCGCGCTGCACTGTCTGTCACGCCCTACCCAGGCCCTTTAGGCGTTTAGGGTTTTGGCAACAGCGGTTACCACCTCTTAGCTTCCGCTATGGCGACCCCTAGGGTCCTGCGTTTTGACGCCGAGGGTAGGCCGCTTGAGTTCTCCGTCTGGCTCCTGCGTGCGCGCCGCCTTTTAGAGATTCAGGTTCAGGCAGATGAGTCTCTGTGGGCACACGCGTCTGGCGACCTTCCTAAGCCCGACGAACCTGCACCCTTAGCAACTGACCCCAAACCTGCAGACAGTGACCGTTATGCACGCGAGCGTGCTGACGTGACCGCGTGGAAGTCGCGTGACGCTGCGGCCTGCATCGCCCTCAGCAGCCTCCTCCCTGAGTCTGAGGAGACCCACTTCACTCAGGTTCGCACGGCTAGTGAGTTCCTGACCGCGATCAAGGCCCGCTACGCTACTCCCACCACTGTCTCTCTTGGTCGCCTGTTCCTTCCGTTCCTGTTTCCTGACCTCGCCTCGTTTGAGCGCACTGCTGACTTGATCAATCATCTGCGCTCGCTCGATTCTAGCTACCGCGCTGCTTGCACTGACACACAGCTTGCACTGCTCCCTCCTTCCATGGCGATTACTATCTATTTCATCGCCACTAGCCTCCCTGACCGCCTTGCCTCGGTTCGTGACGCGCTTCTTCTGAAGCACCCTAGCGAGCTCACCATCGAGGTCCTTGAGTCGGCCCTCAAGGACGTCGAGAGCAACCTCCGCTCGGTAGCCTCTGCCTCTGGTGCTGTGCCCCCTCCACTGTTTCACGGGTGCACTGTCCCTCAGCTGCCCACCTTTACTGCCTCCCTCGCCACTGCCGCTACTGACGTGACCGCAGCTGCTGTTACGACTTCTTCGCGGTCTCGAGGTAGGAGTGGCTGGAGGGGCGGTCAGGGTGCGGGCGGAGGCGGCGGAGGCGGTGGGGGTGACGTGGCGAGCGGCGGCGGCGGGAGTGCAGGGGCTGGAGGAGCGTCTCGTTCAGTGGCCGGTAACTCCCCTGCTACATCTGGTGGAGGTGACGCCCGGGTTCGTCAGCCACCTACTGGTCTGCCAGCCGCAGGGGGTGGAGCAGCGGCGTGGTACCTGACTCAGGGACAGCAGCAACAGCAGCAGCCCCTCCCCTCGCAGCAGCCACAGCAGCAGCAGCGGCAGCAGCAGGTTTCGGGGCAGGGGTCAGGACAGCGTCAGCTGCAGCGCGGTGTCGTCCACTCTCCCTGCACCTATCACGTTCAGACGTACGGCCCCGCTCTGTGGGGCATGTCGGCTTCCCAGTTCGTTGATCTCTCAGGAACTCCTCATGCTATGTATGCTGTTGTTGACTCTAGTGCTTCTGACTCTGTTTACTCAAGTGTTGTAAGCTTAGGTGCTAGTCTTTCTGAGGTGCCTGTTGCTAGTGTAGGTACTTGTGTAGACACTAGTACAGGAGCTGCTCCGGAGGACGCTTCGCTGTCTTTCACTCTGGACTCCGGAGATTCACACTGTTTCTTCCGCGACCGCACGACACTTACCCCGCTTCCTACGCCGGTATCCGTAGCACTGGCTGATCCCACTTCGGGACCAGTCACTGCTCGCTACACTACTACGCTTCCGTGCCCGGCTGTTCCCTCCGGTTCTCTGACCGGCTTCCATGTCCCCTCGTTCTCGAGGAACTTGGTGGGCGTGAGGCCGCTCGTGAGTCAGCACGTGGGTGTGTGGATTGAACCTTCTGGTGAGACTGCGGTTTGTGTCGACGGGGACACGTACACGCCTCTCGCCACCTTCACCGCTGAGCCGGGCTCTGGTCTCTACACATTTCACACTGGCCCCCGAGGGCAGCAGCAGCAGCAGCAGCAGCAACAGCAGCGGTAGCAGCAGCGGTAGCAGCAGCGGCAGCAGCAGCCGCGGCAGCAACAGCAGCAGCGGCAGC